GCCTGGGTGGCTCAGTGGGTTAAAGCCTCTGCCTTCAGCTCAGGTCATGATCCCAGGGTCCTGGGATCGAGCCCCGCATCGGGCTCGCTGCTTACCAGGGAGCCTGCTTCCTCCTCTCTCTCTCTCTGCCCGCCTCTCTGTCTACTTGTGATCTGTCTGCCAAATATATAAATAAAATCTTTAAAAAAAAAAAAAGTCTACACAGATAAATATGTCAAAATATTAACTACAGAATCTATGTGAAGGGCGCAGTCATGTTTATTAATCTCTAAACTTTTCTGTAGATTTAAAAATCTTCAAAATAAAAGATTTGAGTGGAGTTAAATAGTGACAGAACAACTAAATATCCATATGGAAAAGAAATGAATCATGGCCCCCACTTTATACTATTCACAAAAATTAATTAGAAGTGGATTATAAGCCTCATTATAAAAGCTAAAACTAAAGCTTTGAAGAAAAATGAAGAATATCTTTAATGACCTGTGAGTAGGCAAAGATTTCCTATACAAGAAAAAAAAAGATTTTTCCTATTGACAGAAAACAATAAGCATAAAGGAAATATTGATTACTTCACTGAAATATAAAACTCATCAAAGACACCATTATGAAAATAAATAGGATAGACACAGACTGGGAGAAAATATTTGCAAAAATATATCTGACCAAAAAAACCTTCCTACTTAGAATATACAAAGAACTCTTTCAATTCAATAATAAAGCAAAAGGTGGCGCAAAAAAAAGACGATTCGTAAAGGAAAGGAATATGCATAATCAGAAAACCCATGAAAAAGTACTCAAATCATGGGAAATGCAAAGGAAACCACAAGGAGAGAACACTACATAGCCATCAAAATGGCTAAAATAAAAAACTGACAACACCAAATTGTGGAGCAACTGTGACTGATACATTGCTGGGGAAATATAAAATGGTACACTCTTTGGGAAAAGTTTTGACTTTTTTATAATCACCTATCCTTTCACCTAGAAATTTCACTCATATATTTACTCAAGAGAAATGAAAGTAAATTCCACAGAACAGTTGTGCAAATGTATTCATAGCAGCAGCATTTATAATAGCCCAAAACTGGAAATGACCCAAATGACCATCAGTAGGATGACTAAACAAGCTGCAGTATGTTCATTCAAAACACTACTCAGCAATATAAAAAGGAAAGAACTGTTCTACCCAGCAAAAGAACCTAGACACCAGAAGTACATACTGTACGATCCATTTACATGAAGTTCTAGAACAGTCAAAACCATGGCTAAGAAAAAATGAAAAAAGTGATTTCCTCTTGGGCATGGGGGGTGGGGATTTTCTAGGGCGTTTTGTGAGGTGATGGAAGTATAGTGTATCTTAACTGGTGTGGGTTACACAGGTGCCTCCATTTATCAAAAAAATGTACACTTTAGGGACGCCTGGGTGGCTCAGTTGGTTGGGCAGCTGCCTTCGGCTCAGGTCATGATCCCAGCGTCCTGGGATCGAGTCCCGCATTGGGCTCCTTGCTCGGCAGGGAGCCTGCTTCTCCCTCTGCCTGCCACTCTGTGTGCCTGTGCTTGCTCTCTCTCTCTCTCTCTCTGACAAATAAATAAACAAAATCTTTAAAAAAAAAAAAAAAAAAAAAAGAAAAAAATGTACACTTTAGATTATTGCATTTGAGTGAATGTAAATTTACTTTGGAGATATCGAACGGAGGGGTGAGGAGTAGGTACACATGAAAATGGCAGCTGGTGAAACCAGGTGATGGGTATTTTAACTTTGCACGAGTTTGAAATTTTCCAAAACAAAAAGGAGGGGAAGTGGGCCAGGAACCAGAGAAATCTGGGTTGGAATCTTATACCTCCAGCTGCAACGTAACAGCCGTTAACCTCTATTTTCAACATTTGTAAATGAGAATAAGGATTATAATCACATTTCAGGACAAGTAAAGATTAGGACTACTGTGCTTTGTGAAGAAGGTCAAGAAAGCTGCTTAACCATTAAATTAGTCTGGAGAAGGGCAGTTTCCAGAACAGTAGAAACCTGGATTAAATGGCAAATATGGGGTTAGACTCAGTAATCCTAACCCAACAGGCATTTGAATTCCACTTGATACTGTTACATTTTAACCCAACTTTCAGAGTTCATATTGTAACTGTTTTCAAATATTGCAAGATAAGTAAATGAATGGTGAAAAGATTATTATCCATGCTAAAATTAACAGTCCAAATCTATAAGCACAAGGGGACAATTGAGTAGACTAAATGAAGACAGGGTGCCACGGCCCTTAATTGGTGAGCAGGTGAGGGTAAACATTGTAAATAACTGATTAGAGGGTTCTGTGGATCTAAACTGGAAGGGAGAATGGCAATATAAACAGTGGGAAGTGGTGTGGTAAGAATCCATAGAATTTGGTGGCATGATAGGAAGAAAAGCTTATCAGGAAGACCATGTTAGGAAAATTAGACTTTAGACCTTGCCTAATTCTCATTCTTGTATCTTGAAGATTCATTTCCTTGGGGAACCCCCTGACCACCTCCCTCTCCCCAAGTTTAGATCTGATTGTGTTATACCATCACAGGACCATATTTTATTACTTCAAAATATTCATTGTCATAGGGGTGCCTGGGTGGCTTAGTGGGTTGAAGCCTCTGCCTTTGGCTCAGGTCATGATCTCAGGGTCCTGGGATGGAGCCCCGCATCGGACTCTCTGCTCAGAGGGGAGCCTGCTTCCCTTCCTCTCTCTCTGCCTGCCTCTCTGCCTACTTGTGATCTCTGTCAAATAAATAAATAAAATCTTTAAAAAATATATTCATTATCATAGTTGATCATTGTTTACTACCAGTCTTCTCTCACTAAGTTCTAAGGGAGAGGGTCTGGTCTGGCTTTACTCCCCACTAACTTCCAGGTGCCAAATTTAGTGCCTGACACAAAACAGGGGCTCAATATTTGAATAATTCTTACATCAAAAAGGAAATTAAAATTGTCAATCAGACTACTTAGGAATTAAGGACTGGGGCACCTGGGTAGCTCAGTCGCTATGCATCTGATCCCAGGAGGATCAAGCCCCACATAGGGCTCCCTGCTCAGTGGGAAGCCTGCTTCTCCCTCTCCCACTCCCTCTGCTTGTATTCCCTCTCACTGTGTCTTTTTGTCGAATAAAAAATAAAATCTTAAAAAAAAAAAAGGAATTAAGGACTGAGAATATTACACTGTCTTGAGGACTGTGAGTAAAGGTATTCTCAGGAGGGAAACTCATAGCCCAAGTCCTTTTTAAAATTATTATTATTTTTCAAGTATTTTATTCATTTGAGGGAGAGAAAGAGCATGCATGCCCATCCCAGATGAGCATGGGGAAGAGCAGAGAGGATGGAAAGGGGAAGGGAGGCAACTCCAGCAGACTCTGGGCATCTGAGTGCAGCACCCCAGACTAGGGGCTCCATCTCTTCACCCTGAGGTCATGACCTGAGCGAAACCAAGAGTTGTGCTCAGCCCACTGAGCCACCCAGGTGCCCCTAAGTCCTTTTATTTTTAAATAAATTAACTGAACATTCTGTTGAAGAAATTAGGGAGAAAAAGAAGAAAAAAGGTAGTAACCTGAATCAAAATCACTAGAAGTAATCTTTGAAAAGGCCAATAAAATAGTCAAACTATGGGACGCCTGGGTGGTTCAGTCAGTCAAGCGTCTGCCTTCAGCTCAGACTCAGGTCATGATCCCAGAGCTCTGGGATCCCATAGCCCATCCGGCTCTCTGCTCCGCAGGAAGCCTGCTTCTCCTGCTGCCTGTTCCCTCTACTTATGTGCTTGCATGCTCGCTCTCTCTCCAAATAAAATAAAAATTTTTTAAAAGCTTAAAATAGTAAAATTACTGGCAAGACTAATCAAGGGACAAAAACAAACAACAAAAACAAAAACAAAAAACTCCAAATGTGTAGTTTTTACAGTAAGTGGTAGAACAATAGATAAAAATAAATTTTAAATATGGTAGATCAGGCGCCTGGGTGGCTCAGTGGGTTAAAGCCTCTGCCTTAGGCTCAGGTCATGATCCCAGAGTCCTGGGATGGAGCCCCGCATCAGGCTCTCTGCTCAGCAGGGAGCCTGCTTCCCTCTCTCTCTCTGCCTGCCTCTCTGCCTACCTGTGATCGCTGTCTGTCAAATAAACAAATAAAATCTTAAAAAAAAAAAAAAAGATTTAAATATGGTAGATCACTATATACAACACTAACCAAGTATATCAGGACATTTAGGTTAACCGGCCATTTTTTGAGAACAATTAAAAGCCCCAACATTGATTCAAAAAGAAGAAAATCGAAATGGTGTACTAACGATGATAAGTATGAGTTCATCATGCTATTTTGTATATTTTGATTGTTAAGATAAAATGTTTAAAAATAAGCTTCCAAGAAGTAATGCTGTCCCTTCTTTGGCTATGACTATATTTGCTCAGCACCTGTCTCGTACATAAAACTGTCTGGTACATAAAACATAGCGTCCGCACTCCACCAGCTTGAAAGCAGCTGTCTAGCGAGTGAGTCAACTAACACACAGGAGAAGACCGACATCAACAGAGGAGTCCCAGATGGACCCAACCAGAGCTGGCGTTAGGCCACCAAGGAGGTAGGGGACTGAGGACGCGGTTTTATTTTATTTATTTATTTTTTAAAGATGTTACTTATTTATTTGACAGAGAGAGATCACAAGTAGATGGAAAGGCAGGCAGAGAGAGAGAGGGAAGCAGGCTTCCCGCCGAGCAGAGAGCCCGACGCGGGACTCGATCCCAAGACCCCGAGATCACGACCTGAGCCGAAGGCAGCGGCTCAACCCACTGAGCCACCCAGGCGCCCCAGAGGAGGACGCGGTTTTAATCTCACACCGAGCCCAACGCGCCTGCGCAAGGTAGAGACCGCCCCATCCATAGCTCCCGGGCGGAAGCTCCGGCGCCCCGAACCACGTGGTCGCGGGCGGAGCCGGGCGGGGCGCGCGGGAAGTGCTGCCGCGTCGTCACCAGCTGAATGGGCGGCGGCGGAGCATGTGTGTGCAGCTGAGGCTGCTGCCCGCCCGGGACGCGGCGGAGAGTGCATGCCTCTCCCGGGACAGACCGTGAAGCCGGAGAGGACGTGGCGGCGGCGGAGGAGGGGAAGAGCAGCGGGAGGCAGGCTGGGCATCCCTCTCGGGGGCTGGAGGGCCCCGGCTTGGCCGGGGTTATTATGGCATCGCTTGCGGACCGAATGCGAGGCAACGGGCGCATCGCCGCTGGGCTCCTGCTCAACCTCCTGGTGTCCATCTGCATCGTGTTCCTCAACAAATGGATCTATGTGCACCACGGCTTCCCTAACATGAGCCTGACCCTGGTGCACTTCGTGGTCACCTGGCTGGGCTTGTACATCTGCCAGAAGCTGGACATCTTTGCCCCCAAAAGTCTACCGCCTTCCAAACTCCTCCTCCTGGCCCTCAGCTTCTGTGGCTTCGTGGTCTTCACCAATCTCTCTCTGCAGAATAACACCATAGGCACCTATCAGCTGGCCAAGGCCATGACCACGCCGGTCATCATAGTCATCCAGACCCTCTGCTATAAGAAAACCTTCTCTACCAAAATACAGCTCACGCTGGTGAGTAGCTTCAGCTTGGCAAGGCACACCTTTACCAGTCCATCTCCTGGACCGTCTTTCTTCCCGGGAAATTCGAATGTTTAACCTTGCGCCACACTCTTTCCCCATCGTCTTGAAATCCACCAATGAGTCATCTGTGGCCATGTGAACTTCAGGTTTATTTGGAAGAGGTGAATAAAGTCATCTTGGCACTCTGTTGGGCTCTTAGCCCAGAAGAGTGTGCTTATGTAAGTTTTAGTAACTACTGTTTGATGGAAATCCGTAAATGCTGTGATTGGTAAGAAAAGAAAGCTGTATTGCGTTACGCAATTCAGCGTGTCAGAATATCTGCAAAATCTCAAACTGAAAAATGGCCCTCCTTTGACCCAGGAGAATCAAATCTTGTATGGTAAACGTTGAAGGTTCAACATACAATATGTCTCCGAGTATGTCTGCAGCGACATACTGCAGAGGTTTTTTGTGTCTTTAAATAAAAGGAGATAATTTTAGTACTTAATGATTTACAGTATTTAAATTCTTAATGCTTTTGTTATACCTTCATGCTTATGGGTTGTTTAGACACTAGTTTGGGGAGGAGGTCCTCTGAACTTGCAGGTTTAATGTGTTTGTTGCAAATTGAAATGCATTGACTCATTAATTTTACCCAGAATTTGAAGTAGAATTAAATATGAACATAAATATAGAATTAACTTATTTCATTTTGAAGAAATCAGTTTGTTTTTTCAAATGGAAAAAAAATCCAATTATAGAGGTTCATTGTTTCCCAGTGATGTTTTTATGATTAACCTTGTAAGACAACATGAAAGAAATACTACATTTATGTCTCATAAATTTAATCTGAACGACATTTGCTTCTTTTTCTTTACAGATTCCTATAACCTTAGGTGTAATCCTAAATTCTTATTACGATGTGAAGTTTAATTTCCTTGGAATGGTGTTTGCTGCTCTTGGTGTTTTAGTTACATCCCTTTATCAAGTGGTTGGTAATTTTTTTTTCTTTATGTGCCTTTTTAGCAGATTTCATAAATTTTGAAGCTGTATCCCAAGGTTTAGAAAATACAGTATAGAGACAATAGACTGTTGGGAAGAAAGCATAATTGCATAAATTGTCTGACTCAAGGTGAAGAGAAGAAAGGAGTCAGAGAAACTTGGGTGTTTGATGCTCACCAAGTACCTCCTTACCTGTTGTAAGTGTATAATATCAGTGCTTCACAGTCTGAGTTTGCAGGGATGCTGTAGCATTATCTGGGAAATCTTTACAAAATAAGTAGTAAGACTTCATTCTTGAAACCGAGACTACTGGTGAAATTTGTGATTTACTCTTGAATTATAAGATTACTGTGAGCAAGTCCCTTTCCAAAATTTGAACAGGAAAGGAAAATTGAAGATTTATAAATCTTTTCCTCAAAAAATATGCTGCTGATACTACTTGTATATCAGCTTCCAATGATTTGTCTATATCCATATTTTCTAGCAATGGGTATTTCACTTCTGGTACTATTGTATCCCAGTACCTTGCCTGTAGGAGGCTCTCATTAAAAATTTATGCATGGATCCACTCACTTCATTACCGTAAAATCTCAGCAAGTATTTTTTGTTGTTGTTTCTTAGGTAGTGGGGAAAAATAACTTGGTGTAGGGTGCTGTGAAACAGTATTTTCTCTATACTGAAAACCTTGGACTGGAAATTCTATGTGTGCCTGCATGGGGAGTCAGAACCAAACTGTGTAACTGATTTTTTTTTTTTTTTTCCCACAAATATCTGCTGGTTATAAACTAAGGTGAACTTGTTATGAATGTTACAGGTTTAAGAATACAGCCTTAGCATCTGAAACATTATAGTACTGATCATTTCAGAAACATTGTTATATAGACATTGTGGGGTTGAGTACATTTTTAAGTGGTAAGGAGCTGTGTAAATAAGAGACCAGTGTCAGGAAGAGAAGGAGGGCCCACTCCGTGCTGTCATTTGGCTCCAAGATACTCTCACTACAGAGAGGAATTAGAGCAAGCTAACCCTTGTGCTTTAAGGTTTGCTTAGATATACTTCAGTGAGTTTAAATTTTGTTATTACATACAGTAAGTGAACATTCCTATTCCTCTTTTTTTGTTAAGCAGATTTTTTTTTTGCCCAAGAGGGATTACTTATTTATTAGGTACAACAAGAAATTTTATTTATTGAACATCAGAATTTCTTGTATCCCTGACACATAAATTCAACTCAGCGTATTCACTGTCCTTGCCAATATGACCATTTTCCCCACAAGCCTCAAAATTACTGTAGATTAGAATCAAATGATTCTGTATCCCTCAGCTACATATTTGAAATGGGATTGACTAAGGAATGATTGTGGACAAACTAATAGGCAGAGTTTTCTATTATTAGTAAACAGTAAAAGTACTGTTAAGGACTCCCCAGAAGTTTATTTTTAAAAAGCTGTATTTTCGGGGTGCCTGGGTGGCTCAGTGGGTTAAGCCTCTGCCTTCGGCTCATGTCATGATCTCAGGGTCCTAGGATCGAGCCCCACATCAGGCTCTCTGCTCAGCGGGGAGCCTGCTTCCCCCTCTCTCTGCCTACCTCTCTGTCTGCTTGTGATCTCTCTGTCAAATAAATAAATAAAATCTTAAAAAAAAAAAAAAAGGCTGTAGTTTCCCATTGTATCCAGGTGTAATTTCTAAGTTATTTCTTCTTATACTGCTAGGGCAATCAAAGGAGTTAAAAGATGAGTCATCAGGTAATAGCTTTAGTTGTGGAAAGATGGTGGATTCCCTTAGGCATTCGTTCAGCAGACATTCCTTTTGCTTGATGCTCAGCCTTGAAGATACAAAGATGAAAAGCAACTAAAATCCAGCATGGTAGAAACACATGTAGACCGCTAATTGCAGTGTAGCTCAGGGTCTGAGGAAAGTTCCGCAAAACACCCAGGAGAGAGTGGCAGTTCTACAAGAGAGTGGTGAGGTTAAGACTTCATGGAAAAGTTAGCAATTTAAATGGAAGGGCCCATAGGAATTTGCTTAGCGGAGAAGTACAGCAGAGGTCTTTCTTTGCAACGATGTGTGGACATGATGTGTGGACATACGGAGCATTTCTGGAGAACTTGATGGATTTGGTGAGATTCTAGTTGCCTTGTGGAAGCCTGAGGCTTAAGGGTGGGCAAGACCAGATGGCACAGTCTTGAATGTCATGCTGAGGAAGTGTGCTCCTTATCCTGCAGGCGCCAGGAAGGGGTTTAGATTGGGGGGGAGGGGGAGTGACTTGATCATTACCTGTGTTTCAGTGACGTAACTGGTGACAGTGACAGATGAGCAGCTAGGAGGCTGTCTGTGTTTCAAGGGGGAGACAGGAAGGCACTGGACAGAGAGTGGGAGAGGAAAACACATGCGGAGGAAAACAGAGCCCAGGAACCTTTTGGAGAAGGAATGAGCAGTACCGGACAGAATGTAGAATGAGAAAAGGAAGGCATCTCATCCTTGGGGGAGATGAGGTCTTTAATAATGGGAGCAACACAGGAGGAGCTAATTTGGGGAGGTAAGTACTGAGTTGGCTTTAGAACAGTCCCTGCAGATCGTATAAGTGAAGGCAGCCGGTGAGCTGTTGGAGTTTGGGGACTAGCGGTGCCCTGAGAAAGGAGGTCAGAGCTGGAGATGTTTTCAGGTGTAAGTGAGATCAGTCAGGGAGATAAAAGAAAAAGATGGGACATCTACCTTACATATAGTCAATGAAGGAAGATGTGAGTGAGGAAACAGTGCAGACCAGAAGTCAAGGTCTTCCAGGAGACGTTTGCCCGTTCCGCAGACAGCCCCCTTAGGAAGAGAGCAGAGGGATGTCACCTCTGGAGGTGACAGTGCCCTTTGTGGTGGTGCAGAGCGATTAGAGCGATGGTGGGCAGAAGCCAGGGAGCAGTGCAGTGAGAAGTGGAGGCCCTGAGAAGATCCACCGTTCCAGGCGGTTCTCTGTCACACACGCAGCTGTCCAGTGAGGCTGCTAAAGAAACCAAGGGGTGGGCATCCACACTCTGCCTCCGTTTTTGCTCCCTGTACCCTCCCCAGGAGCAGGCCGCAGAAGAATTGGTTCTTTGTCCTTTATAGTCACAGAAGACTCTCAGTGAAGGCGGGCAGAGTATGTTTCAAATTTCCTGCTCTTCTATTTTTGTCTTGGTGTATTTCTATAGCCTTCGAGTTTGTAGAACAGGATACCCAGATCTACAGGAAAAATAATTATGTAGGAGCAGTTATTCAAAAGCTTGGCTGTTCCTGCCAGATCGTATTCAAACAGTCCTGTCAGGCTTTCTTTAAAGCCTCTTTTTAGTCATATTTGTGAAACATTTTGAGGATGGATGGGATTGAGGTTTTGAGGTGTTGGTTCTCCTGAATAATATAGGCTTTTATTTTTTAAATCTTTTTAAAAGATTTTGTTTATTTTAGAAAAAGAGAGAGAATGAACAGGGGGAGGAGCAGAGGGAGAGTGACCAGCCAGCTCTGCACTCAGTGTGGAACCCAACTTAGGCTCGATCCCACAACCCTGAGAGCATGAGCTGAGCCAAAATCAAGGGTTAGACGCTTAACTGACTGAGCCACGCGGGCACCCCTTGAATGATACAATTTTTATTTGTTTATTTTTTTAAGATTTTATTTATTTGACAGAGAGAGTGAAGTGCACAAGCAGGGTGAGTGTCAGGGAGAGGGAGAAGGAGAAGCAGGCTCCCCAAAGAGCAGAGAGCCCACCGATGTGGGCTCGATTCCAGGACCCTGAGATCATGACCTGAGCCCAAGGCAGACACTTAATCAACTGAGCACCCAGGTGCCCCTGATACAGTCTTTTAAAATGATTTGCAATTACCTAATTTCTTCTAGTGTACTCATGGGGGATTACCCATAGTAAAATCATCCAGAAAGAAGAAAATTCTTTCTGCCATCGACTGGGTTTTCTAACATTAATGAAAAGGCCTCACATACTACTCTAGCCACCCACACTAGCAGCCAGGATCGCTGAGGTTCCTGTCAATCCCTAATTAGTCTGCCCTGCTCACCCCCTACTTCTTTTGAGGGGTGGGGGAGCAGTTTTAGAAAGAAGTGAAGTCTAACACTGCATCTCTGTTCCTGCTGGTCACCTAAATGTCCATTCCTGTCTCCTTTTCCCAAGATCTGAAATTCATGGGCCCCCCGTATGAATTCATTGATTTGCCCCATTTACTAGGGTCGGCAGAGAAGAGAGGATATTTTTTCTCCTTCTTTATAACTGAAAAGAAAATAGATTGTCATACATTGAATTTGTAAAGCTCCTTTCATCCAGGGTGCTTCAAGGACATTTGTATATATTATTGATCTTTTTTAGAAATTTGATCTTTGGAGTCTTGTAGACGAATTAGGCATTTCTGCTTCCTTCAGCCCTGCCCCATGTTCCCATCCTGGTGACTGGAGTCACATCTTTTTTGTTTACTAAGTGGTGATGGTTTTTTCCCTAACCTCATGCCTTTTGTCTCCTGATTTTCAGTGGGTAGGAGCCAAGCAGCATGAATTGCAAGTGAACTCCATGCAGCTCTTGTATTACCAGGCCCCCATGTCCTCCGCCATGTTGCTGGTCGCTGTGCCCTTCTTTGAGCCAGTGTTCGGAGAAGGAGGAATATTTGGCCCCTGGTCACTGTCCGCATTGGTAAGTTCTAATTGTTTCGCTAAGAAACAAAAGAATCATCCCTCTGCTATTAGTGCGATTTTTAGTTTTCAGAGCACAATCTCAGATCCATTCTCACATTTAATCTTCATAATTACCCTTGAAGGGAGGCAAGCGAAGGATTCTCTTTTAGATAAAGACACTGAGGCACAGCGTGTGTGTGTGTGTGTGTGTGTGTGTGTGTGTGTAATTTTATAGACACGGACTCGTGTCATAAATGCTGTTCTGATCATGGATTCCTTTTCCCCAGCCCTCCTCCCCGCACACATTCAGCATTTCATTTCCCCGTCTCTGCCCCTGGAGGTAAGTCTTGTTAACATTCTAGTGTGTGTTCTTCCATAGTTTGCTCTGTGCTATCCATACACATGTAAACAGTACACATACACATACACACATAAATTACATAAATTACATAAATTAAATGTTTATTTCTTTGACAAAAGTGGAGTCATAACGAAAATAATTTTCTGCATCTTGCTTTTCTCGCTTCGTACCTCGTGAACATCTCTTCAGATGTTCTGTTCAGTATCCGTATAATAGATCTGGTGTTGCAGTAGACAGCCTTATTATATATATCTTTGGGAACTGGCGCTTTTTTTCCTTTGGAATAGAGTTCTAAGAGCAGAATGGCCAGATCAAAGGGAAGTGTACTTTGGGGACATTTTAAGTTAGAAAGTGTAATCCCCCTCCTTAGGGAAGGAATTTCTGCTTCCCACAACCTTAACCTTTGGAACACAGTACGCAGAAAAGGCTTGTTTGTTGGTAGTGATCATTTCTCAAACTTGCACAGCCCTTACTCTATCCTGAGAACGACTCCAACACTTGGCAAATGTTAACTTATTTAATCCTCATAACAACTTTATTAGGTGACTGCTATTATTATCCTCATATTTAGGATAGAGGATGAGGAAACTGAGAGGCAGATTTAAGGAGCTGACTTAAGATCCCACAACCAGTAAGCAGACCAAGCATGCTGACTCCAAAACCCACGTTCTCAGGTGCTCTGCTCCGCTGCCTGTGAGCAGAATGCTGGTGGTTTCCAGTTCACATACTTTGCATATAACCTTTTTTCCACAGTAGAAATCACTTGTCCATCTCTCAGTATTTCCTCTTAATTTTACCAAAGTTCTAGCCATCTTGGTTACCTGGTCTTCACACTCTTGCAGCATAGAAAGCTTAAACCGGAAGGAGGGGCTTTCTGCGATAGGCCCCCTGACAGAGTCGAAGAAGAAAAGTGGCCCCCAAAAAGTCAGAGGAACTAAGAGCATAGCAGTCTGAGTCCACTGAGTGAGAAAAAGTCACCTCCGTTCCTTAATGTCCCTAGAGGGCATTGTTGCCTCAAAGTAGAGCAGGCAATTATGTTTTCAGTGATGGTCTGAGTCATCAAGGAGTACTCGTGTAACATTCTGTCAGCTCAATAAAATTAACAATGGTATATTTCTAGAAACAGTTTTTTAAGTCTTTAATGCTCTTAGTTGAAAATATAACGGACTCACTGTGGTAAAACAAATGAGGTGTTACTGTTGTTACCTAAATAGGACACAAATCCAGCTCCTTCAGTCCTCCTGTGACCTCCGTGATATAAAAGCTGATGAAAGCCTCAGGGGACAGAGGACTCTTCAAATAGGACATATTTTCTTTAGAATTTATATTCCTTAATAATTCAAATCATAACTGATACTTTATCTAATTCTCTTATTTTGGAAGTAGAATATGACTTTATAATTTTTAAAATACAACAGTGGGAAAGGTCTGGATGGATGCACTAGGGGCCCACAGGGGCACAGCCACTTTGTCCCCCATCCTTAGCCAAGCCGGTTGCTTCACGTCCCACGCACACGTCTTGTGCTTTCTTGCAGCCGTGCTTTGGCCCCTACTGTTGTGTCTGCTTGGAGTCCTACCCCTTCTTTGTCTAATCTGTACAGGCATTCAAGGTCCAAACACCCACTCCCTCCCCGAGCCCTAAAGAACATCTCCTGCCTAGAGATTCATAAAAAATCTGTTGTGTGTTGGTTTCTTCATGAGGCAGCGCTCCAGACCCTTTTACCTATTTCCTGAGCTCACTGGCTTCCCTGTGGCTAAGAGGTAGCACAGTGGAGTGGGTTATATACTGGGCCTCCAGAATCAGTCTGCCTGGGCTTCATCTCAGCCCTACCACGTACTACTGTGTGATCTAAGGCAAAGTGCTTTTCCTTCCTCTGTTCGTCTGTGAAAAGGGATAATATTTTACTACCTCATGGGTGTTTGTGAGGATTAAACTAGTTAATATATGTAAAACATTGAGGACAGTTGTTGGCACGTCATAAGTGCTGTGTAAGTGCCAGCTATGATTATCATGATTTTTAGTATGTCGTCAAGTGGTTTCCAAGCTCTTTAAGGACAAGACCCTATTCTGTTCCTCAAAAGGTATGGTTATGGATAACCACTGAACACCCACTGATTTAATTTAAATAAGAATAAATATGAGCAATTAATAGAAAAACATCTGGAAGGATACATACAAAGGTATTAACAGTGGTGGGTGGTTAGGATTATAAAAGTCCTTACATTCTTTTTTCTTATCTTTTATTTTCTGATTTTTCTATATGGAATATGTATTACTTTTATAATTAGAAATTATTACAAAATAATTTTTCTTCAGATGGATAAGAAAAGTGAACCTGGAAATTCGCATTCAGCCAGGATATTATTGGAGAATTTTCTATTGCACCTTGTAGACAAAATTATATTTCCAAATACTACTCGTTCTGCTATTTTACCCTCAATTCTTGCCGTCTCCCAAATGGATTTTTTTAAAACTCTTGTTCTTAATGGTGCTTATTTAAGTTTTTAGAAATGCCTAATGAGATGGATTTTTACTTGATGATGATAACGATCACAACTGCTTTACATTAATGATTCTTTGGGTTTGTTTGTAGCTTATGGTGCTGCTCTCTGGAGTAATAGCTTTCATGGTGAACTTATCGATTTATTGGATCATTGGGAACACGTCACCAGTCACGTATCCTTTTCCTAACAGCTCACAAATGCATTGTCTTTTCTATTTTCCCAACTCTGTCAGATTCATTTCCTTCTGTGAGTCTTGCAGTTACTATTACATGGTCTACATTGAGTAACTAGGCTGATCTTCAGTCTTTTCCTGTATCTTTCCTCATTAGACTCTATGGAAACTTAAAGAAAGGTGAGCCAGGGAAATGGGTTAGTTTTCTTATGCAGTAAGTGACCTTTACCCTTATCAAAATCAACATAGAACACCAAGCCTGGCCTATAGTGGAGTTAAATAAATACTTGTTGAGTGGATAACGGAAAGGACGCTGGTTTTTTTTTTTTTTTTTGGGGTTTTTTTTTTTTTTTTTAATCAATTATCAGTCCCTGTAGTAATAAAGTACAGGTACAGCCAATCCAAAAACAAAAGATAACTTCAGACCATTGACATCTGACTTTTGAACATGGTTTTGTACTTATTTGGATATGAGTGTGCCTGTTTTTCTCAGTATTACTTCCAATCAAGAAATGAAATCAGGCCTCAAAGGTCTGAATCATTTGTAACATTTTGCTTGTCATTCTGTTTCTCTTCTCGTTTCACTCCTTCTCCACTCTTAAGCAAAAGCAAAGAAGGATTTCCCCAATTTGGAGAGGTAGTTTAGTAACATCATATCCAAGTGTGCTGATCTATTTAAATGAGTGAACACTGAGATGTCACCAAAGTAAAAAAGCAGCCTATTTGTCAACTATCAATAAATACAACAGTTATAATAAGAAGGATTAAAAAACAAAACAAAAAACCCTACACTTAGTTAATATTTATTTTGCACCAGGCTCTTTTGGAAAGAAACACCTCAGATGTAGTAGGCATCGGACTCTCAAAGCCGCTCTGTCGGATAAATTCTATCATTGTATTTTGCAGAGGAGGAAGCAGAGGTGCAGAGAGGTTAAGTAATATGCTTAAGGTCGTATAGCTGAGAAGTGTGGTGCCCAGATTTGGACCCACGCAGTCTAGTCCCCGACCTTGTGCCCCCGCTGCCGAATTAAGGCATCCAGTGCTGTGCCCTGATTAAGAACATTCATTCATTCAACCAATATTTTTAAAAATTTTATTATTATTTTAAGATTATATTTATTTGACAGAGAGAGAGAGACAGTAAGAGAGGCAACACAAGCAGGAGGAGTGGGAGAGGGAGAGGCAGATTCCTGGCTAAGCAGGGAGCCCGATACAGGGCTCGATCTCAGGACCCTGGGATCATGACCTGAGCCAAAGGTCAACAACTTTAACAACTGAGCCACCCGGGTGCCCCTCAACCAATGTTTATTAAACAACTACTATAAACCATGCCCTGACTTAATAAGTCCTTCCATGATGAATATCTACCATATGTTGGGCATGGAGATACAGGGGTGAGCAAAAATCCTTGCTCTCCCAGGTTTCCTTTCTGGTGAGGGAGACGAAACAAGAAAAAAAATTCACGTATACATGTACAGTGTCAGATACTGTGAGGTGCCAAGGAGAAGAAGTAAAGCAGGAAGAGGATCTGAAATGTTGGGCACCGGGTTGAAACTTTGCAGGGAGAGTCAGGAAGGCATCTACAGGAAGGGGATTTTCGAGTGAAGACCTGAAGGAAATGAAGCCGCCCCATGCAGACCAGGATGAAGAGTGTTCCTAGCAGAGGGAGCCGCGGGGAGGCCCTGACGAGCAACCAGGAGGCCTCATGGTTGCAGCAGGGAGAGCGCAGCGTGGAGAATAGTAAGGCTCTGAGCGGAACAGGGCGCTGGGCCGAGCGGAGATTGCACCTGAGATGGGAAGCCGTGGGCGCTCGGAGCAAAGAAGGGACGAACTTTTTTTTTTTTTTAAGATTTTTATTTATTTGACAGATCACAAGTAGGCAGAGAGACAGGCAGAGAGAGAGAGGAGGAGGATGCAGGCTCCCTGCTGAGCAGAGAGCCCGACACGAGGCTCGATCCCAGAACCCTGGGATCATGACCTGAGCCGAAGGCAGAGGCTTTAACCACTGAGCCACCCAGGCAAAGGGACGAACTTTTATCTACGTTCTAACATGATCACTCTGGGCTACGGTGTTGAGGATGGCCTGAAGCGGGTGTTTCAGCATCAGTGCAGTTGACCTTGTGGGTTGGACAGTTCTTGTTTGCAGACGCCTGTCTGGTGCACTCCAGGATGTTCAGCAGCACCCCGGCTTCTGCCTGCTGGGTGCCAGTGGTGCCCCCTTTTTCCCAATTATGATGGCCAAAAAGATGCCTAGTCCTCTTTGGTGGCAATGTCACCCCAGCTGAGGATCACTGCACTGAAAGAATGGCACTGTCGCAGCTGAAGTAGGACAGCCCGAAGGAGGTTTGGGGGTGGGGAGCTGGGGGGAGAGCAAGTCTGAGAGTTCAAGGTCGGGATCTCAGCTGCAGCTGTTCCAGGGACAGTCAGGTGTTCTGTGTAGACGCTGTTTGAAGCAGGGAGGCTGATTACCAAGCAAACAAGTACAAGAAGAGCCGCCCAGAAATTGGGTCCTGGGTCCCGTCCGTGTTGACTGTTCCAGAGCTGAGAGGAACGGGCAGTGGAGGAGAGACCAAGGTAGGGGAGGGAAGCCCTATAAACCCTCTGGGTGAGGAGGAGGGGGGTCAGCCATGTTGAATGGCACTGACAGGTCAAGCCGAAGAAGGCCAGGAATTGAGGAGGGGCCTTGGGAAGGTGGAGGGCACTGCTGTTCTGACAAGAGCTTTCTGAGCATCGAGGGAAAGCCTGACTGGGGCAGTGAGGGGAATTAGAGAGGGGAATTGGAAATACCAGGTGTAGAGTGTTCCTTTTTTATTTAATTGAAAGTGTGTATATATATACATGTATATATATATATTTTTTAAAATTTATTATTATTTTTTTACCTCACTGAAGAATTTTCTTTACATATGCCTTCCCTCTCACATAACTGTCTTCCACAGATCATGAGCTACTTAAAAAGAGGGGCTGAGGAGTAAAGAAACACTGAAGTGTTAGAACCAGTGGCTTTCAGATAGTTCACCGTGGAAAATGAAGCCTTTCCCCTAACGGTTAGAATTAGCTCCTGGGGATGAGCCTCTGTCCCTCAGGAAATGCCATCTGGTTGGTCAGGCGAGCACAGATCCCCCGGTGACATGGCCGGTGCTCCCCTGCCCAGAAGGAACCGGCAGAAAACAGCGGGAGCAGAGAGGTCAGAAGGCCCAGGTGTGCACACCCGGCCCAGCCCTGCAGCTGTCGCTCTCCTCTGCCATCAGTCAGCGCTGGTCACATCTGCAGGGTCGGGGTGCAGGGAGTGTTGCCCCAAGCCCCTGGCAGGTGTGTATCATGCATAAATGCTGCTGTTGACAGCTGCTGACACGTGCGGTGCATATATTAGCTTAGTTAATCTGTGAGGTCGCTTTTATCAATTTCCATTGTACGGGCAGGGAAGCTGAGGCGCAGAGTGACAGCTATTTCTTTTCTTTCTTTTTTTAGATTTTTAAAATTTTATTTGACAGAGAGTGAGCGCTAGAGCCAGTGGGGAAGGGGTGCGCAGCAAGCAGAAGGGGAGAGAGAAGCAGGCCTCCCCCTGAGCAGGCAGCCTGACTCCACTTGGGGTTTGAGCCCACGACCCTGGGATCAAGATCTGAATGGAAGGCAGACTCTCAACCGACTGAGCCACCCAGGTGCCCCTGGTGGCTATTTCAAATAGCGTTACTGGAAGAATAGCCAGCTGCACAGTAGACACTGAAAACATAGTGAAGTCCTGATTTATATGGAAAACCACATGTGTACAATATGGAAAGCCTGATTTTTGAAGGCATGGTACGTGTTTAGTCTATCTTCAGCACAGTGATCTGGAAAGCCCGAATCTGGCGGCATGTTTCTGCTGGCCGCACCCCAGACTGGAACGTGGAGTTGGAGTTAAATAGACCTGTCCACGTCTGGACTCCAACTCTGCCACTTCCAAACGCGGTGATCTAAGTTATTTGAAATCCTTGGGCCCTAGCAGTTGCAGGTTGGGAAGAATGATACCGCAGTGAAGGTAAATGTTATGCCTGATGACGTGAGGGGACATGCGCAGGTAGCATGGCACCCAGCATTTCCCTCCCAGAGTCCTGCTGGATGTGTTTACCTTGAGTCTGCCGTCTGGTGCCACGCGCATCTCCCGCATTTGCCAGGGGAAGTTTATTAGAAAGAGCACTATAAAACATAGTCATAAGTTGCTGGGCAAAATAACTAATCTATACCTTGTTCTCAATTCCTTTCCAACCTTATAGCATAGCCCCTTTGCTCTGGAGAGAGAGAGTCGAGGTAGTTGAGGCAGTCTCCAGTCACTGTTGCTGAAGCCTGGGATTGACCCAGGCCGAAGTCCTTGTTTCCTATATGGGGGCGGGGGTGGAGAGGTGGGGGGTGCGAGTCAGTCTGTACTTGCTCCATGCAGTTCTCCAGCCACGGGAAGGCTTTGCTTCGCACATATGTGTGCGTGCCCGTGTGAATGTAACGTCTAGCTTGTTTTCCCTTCTCAGTGTGTGTGTGAGTGTGTGGCTGTCACAGTCTACCTTGTTGGTTTTGTTGATCCTTAGCCCAAAACCTCAGCTATAACATGTTTGGACACTTCAAGTTCTGCATTACTTTATTTGGAGGCTATGTTTTATTTAAGGATCCATTGTCAATTAATCAGGGTCTTGGCATGTTATGCACATTATTTGGCATTCTCGCCTATACCCATTTTAAACTCAGTGAACAGGAAGGAAGTAAGAGTAAACTGGTACAGCGTCCGTAATTAGGTTTTGGTGGAGAAGAGAAAGTCACCGCAGGAAGATTAAAAAAAAATGTTAATTAAGTGTGCAAGTTACTTTCATAGAAGAGGAAAAATTTGTATCGCAAAATTCACTGAATGATGGTTTGCAAGAAGTAACACAAAGGAAATTCTATTCATAAATAGGACTTTCTCTTTTAGAATACCTCTAAGACCATGGCTCATGCTTCTTTTCCAGGACTGATTATATGAAGTCTGTCGGATGATTTGATTATACCAAATGAAATTAAAGTTCTATAATAGGGACAGAGGGGTCCAGATCACCACACTACACATGTGTCGTGGTTTCTAAGTGTTCAGACCCTTCTAAGGAAGGACAGCGAGGACTCCTCTGCTTACTCCTAGGTGGCCCCCAGTGTGAGCTCTTTTATAATTTCAGCCAAAGTGTTCAAGTCAGAATTTAAATCTAGCATTTCTATTTTAGTTCGTCTAATGTAACTTCCTGCTTATTTCGCTAACAGGAATGAAATAGCATTTATAGAAAGCAAAGTGTCGGAAAGAAGCCCATTAAGACAAAATCCAAATCTAAAAGTACCATTTTTTCAGAGAAAATGGATAGGAGAAGTTACACGTTATCCAGAAAACTGCAGTTGCTGTAGCTATTCTCTTGTTTCTGAGCTCTCAGTGAACTCTAGAAACTGTATAGGATGTTAAAAAACAGAACAGCTCCATGTTTAAATGGCCTGAAGAGGAGACGGTGGATGGAACTGAGCAAGTGTCTTATCCTGTTTGTTCTCTTGGCCTCTTTGAGCCTTTCCTTTTGGTAACTTCTTGCTATCACCTCCATGCTGTCACCCTGCCTTCCACGTTGGAGGCCGGCATGGAGCTTTCTCTGACACTGAAAGCTTTGTAGTGAATTCTCTTTCTAAGATGGCTGAGGAAAATTGTCATGCCACAAGTCAGGGCAAATACTATTCAAACATTAAGCAGAAACGTGGTGAAAATATGTGGAAAGCTTTTAAAGAGCAGTAGAAAAATAGTCAATATTTAACCAGTTCCATTAGTTATTAAGGGGATAATTTTTTAAAATTAGCTTACAAGGGAAATACAGGGTTTTGACCGAAGGCAATGTAGTGCCACACATTTCCTTGCAAAATGTGTTTCTGCCTTCCAGCTTCTTCACAGTTGAGCATTAAAAGCTGTTGTTGGTAACTTCTCACAATAAGTTGACTGCAACAGTCCCTCTTGTAATAAATAACTCTTTTAAAATTGTTACATATACCTTTTAGGATTTTTTTTCCCCTGGCCTGTTTGAAATGAAAAACCTCACTGAAAATCTGTTTTGACAGAATTTCAATGTATCGGTCAATTGTCAAGTGACTAGTGTGTGTGATTTTCTGTTTTTGTTTTAAATATTCTTTGATTCTTCTCAGTTTCTAAAGATATGCTTTATTGTGCTAAGAACTATGAAGCTATCTTTCTTACCAGATGAGCCTCAGGCATTATGTTTGTCTAAGAAATGTTCTCTGGATGTGTTTAAATTAACATATAATTATTTCCGCAAAGCTGGAGAAAAGTATTTCCGTGCAGCAAAGATTACGTGACTTCTGCATATGAACAACTGAGTTGATTTGTGCTATGCGGAAATTCTTTTTAACTGTAAATACTTGGGGGGGTATAATCATATTGGGGAGGGTTATAATAAATGACTGATGTCAGTAGGAAGGCAATAAAAAGGTTAGAGTAAGATCGGGTCAGGGTATGTGTATATATAAATGAATAAAATTCCTACCACTGGAACTGGAGTCTCATCAACAGTGTTTGCCCTGAAGATGATCTTCCCATTGAAAAGGAAATTCCTGGAGGAATAACTGGGCGCAGCCACAGAAACTGTGCTGTGGATGAACCCTCACTGTCCTTTTGTTACAGATGTAACTGTACTTGTTTTTAATTCTGTGTTAAATGGCCGAACTTCAGTTTTTACCTGTTACAAATAAAGAGAACCTGTTATTTTTACTTTCATATTGTGTGTCAGAAGTTTATAGAACCGGTGAAAGAAGGAGAGCATCTGTGTGTGTTTGCAGTAGTAATGCTGGCCTGTCCAGCTCCCAAAAATGCAGAATCTAATACAAAATTTTCATGTTACTTTAAATTTAACACAGGGGCACCTGGCTGGCTCAGTCAGAGGAGCATGCGACTCTTGATCTTGGGCTTGTGGGTTCAAGCCCGGTGTTGGGTATAGAGATTACTTTAAAAAGTGAAATCTTTTAGGGGTGCCTGGGTGGCTCAGTGGTTTAAGCCTCTGCCTTCAGCTCAGGTCATGATCTCGGGGTCCTGGGATCGAGCCCCACATCGGGCTCACTGCTCAGCAGGGAGCCTGCTTCCCCCATCTCTCTCTGCCTGCCTCTCTGCCTACTTGTGATCTCTCTCTGTCAAATAAATAAATAAAATCTTTAAAAAAAAAAAAAAAGAACTCTTTTAAAAATAGTCATAACTTCGGGTGCCTGGGTGGCTCAGTCAGTTAAGTATCTGACTCTTGATTTCTGCTCAGATCCTGATCTTGGGGTCCTGAGATGGAGCCCAATGCCGAGCTCCATGCTTAGTGGGGAATCAGTCCCATGCTTGGGATTCCCTCCCTCTACCCCTACCCCCAATCATGCTCTCTCTCTCTAAAATAAATAAATAAAATCTTAAAAAAAAAAAATACCTTAAAGGAGAACTCTGTCTCTGAAATGAAACAGGCTTTCTCCTGTTTCATTTTTATTTACTTTTTTTTTTTTAATTTTTTAAAGATTTTGTTTGAGAGAGCGAAAGCAATCACAGAGGGAAAGGGATCACAGAGGCAGAGAGAGAAGCAGACTCGCTGCTCAGCGGAGAGCCCAATGCAGGGCTTAATCCCAGGACCCCAAGATTATGACCTGAGCCAAAGGCAGCCCCTTAACCAACTGAGCCACCCAGGTGCCCCTCTCCTGTCTCATTTTTTTTTTTTAAGATTTTATTTATTTATTTGACAGACAGAGATCACAAGTAGGCAGAGAGGCAGGCAGAGAGAGAGAGAGAGAGAGAGAGGAGGAAGCAGGCTCCCTGCGGAGCAGAGAGCCCGATGCGGGGCTCGATCCCAGGACCCTGGGACCACGACCCGAGCCGAAGGCAGAGGCTTTAACCCACTGAGCCACCCAGGCGCCCCTCTCCTGTCTCATTTTTAAAAATGCTTTTTAAACCTTGTCATTTTATAAGTTATTAGTTTTTTTTTTTTTTTTTAATTTATTTAAAAGCAACAGCATTGGGACACCTGGGTGGCTCAGTTGGTTAAGCCAGGGTCCTGGGATCGAGTCCCACAGTGGGCTCCTTGCTCAGCAGGGAGCTTGCTTCTCTCTCTGCCTCTGCCTGCTACTCTGCCTGCTTGTGCACTCGCTCTCACTCTCTCTCTCTCTCTCTCTCTCTGACAAATAAATAAATAAAATCTTTAAAAAAAAAATAAAAGCAATAGCATTAATCAAGAATTCCACATCAACTCCATCAGTAAGTAGTTGTTGGGTGAATGAATATACAGATGGCCAAAGGCGAATGTCTGATGGAAAGAATGGAGACCAGATTTATTAGATACATTCTCTTCTGTGTTTCTAGTTCCAAACTTGAACTGGATTTACTTGCTATACTTTCTAGCAGAGAAAATATTAATTAAATTTAAAAAGACATTAAAAATAAGGCATTCAATAAAAACAAAGTGAGTTTATGATGACAAATTCAGATAAATGCTAAACACATACTTCTCTAGAGCATATAACAAGAATCTGGTCCAGAATTGGCTGTCCGTGAGGGTGCCCATGAAGAAAAACCGACTGAGCTGAGCTCTGATGGATTTATGGAAGTTAGATATGTAGAGGGAGGGGATCACATTCTGGTAAAAAGGAATAGCACATGCAAAGGCCCATGGGTTGGAGGAATTATGATGAGCCGAACTGCAAACGGGATGCAATAGAGAGACTACATTTCAGGAAGGGGAGGTATGGTGTGGCATGAGCCTGGAAAGGAAGGCTGACCTCTGGACCATAGAACACCTTGCAGCCCATGTTAGGAATCTAGTCTGAGCAAGAGGGAGTGTTCTGAGTGTTGTCGCAGTCAACCCCTTTGTTTTGAAACTAATGAAGGAGAACCAGAGGGATGCTAGGAGACCAGCTGGAAGGCAATGTACCGAGATGTGATAGCTTGGAGGGCTGGTGGCAGTGAGATGATAGACGTGGACAGATCCAGGAGAATTTTTTTTTTTTAATATTTTATTTATTTATTTGACAGACAGAGATCACAAGTAGGCAGAGAGGCAGGCAGAGAGAGAGGGGGAAGGCAGGCTCCCTGCCGAGCAGAGAGCCCGATGTGGGGCTCGATCCCAGGACCCTGAGATCATGACCTGAGCTGAAGGCAGAGGCTTTAACCCACTGAGCCACCCAGGTGCCCCAGATCCAGGAGAATTTAATAGATGGCATCAAACTGGCTGGAGATGGATTGGAAATAGAGGGCATGGGACTGGTGAAGTCAGGAATCACTGATTCCTGGGTCTGGTTGGTGTTGCTGAGACAGAATGGTGCCATTCTGTGAAACGAGAAACACAAGACAAGGTGTGGCACGGGAAGGAGGAGGATGATGAGTTCATACACTGCCATCTTGGTTTCAAGTTGTCTTTGAGACATCCAGTTAAAAATGTTACTCAAGGGGGAGGAGTCAAGATGGCGGAGAAGTAGCAGGCTGAGACTACTTCAGGTAGCGGAGATCAGCTAGATAGCTTATCTAAAGATTGCAAACACCTACAAATCCAACGGGAGATCGAAGAGAAGAAGAACAGCAACTCTAGAAACAGAAAATCAACCACTTTCTGAAAGGTGGGACTGGCGGAGAAGTGAATCCAAAGCGACGGGAAGATAGACCGCTGGGGGAGGGGCCGGCTCCCGGCAAGCGGCGGAGCAATGGAGCACAAAATCAGGACTTTTAAAAGTCTGTTCCGCTGAGGGACATCGCTCCAGAGGCTTAACCGGGGTGAAGCCCACGCAGGGTCAGCGTGGCCTCAGGTCCTGCAGGGTCACAGAAGGATCGGGGGTGTCTGAGTGTCGCAGAGCTTGCAGGTATTAGAACAGGGAAGCCGGCTACAGAGACAGAGCCAAGGAGTAAGCTCTAAGCTCGGGGTTACCTTGAACCAGTCGCAGGCTCGGTCAACTCGGAGCGTGGCCGGAGGCAGGGTGACGGGAGTAAATCGGCGCTGTTCTCTGAGGGCGCACTGAGGAGTGGGGCCCCGGGCTCTCGGCTCCTCCGGGCCGGAGACCGGGAGGCCGCCATCTTCATTCCCGCCCTCCGGAACTCTACGGAAAGTGCTCAGGGAACAAAAGCTCCCGAAAGCAAACCTGAGCGGATTACTCAGACCGGCCCCTGGTAAGGGCGGTGCAACTCCGCCCGGGGCAAAGACACTTGAGAATCACTACAACAGGCCCCTCCCCCAGAAGATCAACAAGAAACCCAGCCAGGACCAAGTTCACCTACCAAGGAGTGCAGTTTCAATACCAAGGAGAGCAGCGGAATTCCAAAGGAAGAGAAAGCAAAGCACGGAACTCATGGCTTTCTCCCCATGATTCTTTAGCCTTGAAGTTAATTTAATTTTTTTTCTTTTTCAATTTATTTTTCTTCTTCTGCTAAATTTTTTTAACTTTTACCCTTTCCTTTTTTAACGTTTTTTAACTAGTTTATCTAATATATATATTCTTTTTTTCCTTTTTATATTTTTTCTTTATTGGTTTTCTTTTTTTAATTGTTTCTTTTTTTTTTTTTCTTCTTTCTGAACCTCTTTTTATCCCCTTTCACCCCCCTCACGATTTGGGATCTCTTCTGATTTGGCTAAAGCATATTTTCCTGGGGTTGTTGCCACCCTTTTAGTACTTCACTTGCTCCTTCATATACTCTTATCTGGACAAAATGACAAGGCGGAAAAATTCACCACAAAAAAAAGAATAAGAGGCAGTACCAAAGGCTAGGGACCTAATCAATACAGACATTGGTAATATGTCATATCTAGAGTTCAGAACGACGATTCTCAAGGTTCTAGCCGGGCTCGAAAAAGGCATGGAAGATATTAGAGAAACCCTCTCCGGAGAGATAAAAGCCCTTTCTGGAGAAATAAAAGAACTAAAATCTAACCAAGTTGAAATAAAAAAAGCTATTAATGAGGTGCAATCAAAAATGGAGGCTCTCACTGCTAGGATAAATGAGGCAGAAGAAAGAATTAGCGATATAGAAGACCAAATGACAGAGAATAAAGCAGCTGAGCAAAAGAGGGACAAACAGCTACTGGACCATGAGGGGAGAATTCAAGAGATAAGTGACACCATAAGACGAAACAACATTAGAATAATTGGGATTCCAGAAGAAGAGGAAACAGAGAGGGGAGCAGAAGGTATATTGGAGAGAATTTCCCCAATATGGCAAAGGGAACAAGCATCAAAATCCAGGAGGTTCAGAGAACCCCCCTCAAAATCAATAAGAATAGGTCCACACCCCGTCACCTAATAGTAAAATTTACAAGTCTTAGTGACAAAGAGAAGATCCTGAAAGCAGCCCGGGAAAAGAAGTCTGTAACGTACAATGGTAAAAATATTAGATTGGCAGCAGACTTATCCACAGAGACCTGGCAGGCCAGAAAGAGCTGGCATGATATATTCAGAGTACTAAACGAGAAAAACATGCAGCCAAGAATACTATATCCAGCTAGGCTATCATTGAAAATAGAAGGAGAGATTAAAAGCTTCCAGGACAAACAAAAACTGAAAGAATTTGCAAATACCAAACCAGCTCTACAGGAAATACTGAAAGGGGTCCTCTAAGCAAAGAGAGACCCTAAAAGTAGTAGCTCAGAAAGAAACAGAGACAATATACAATAACAGTCACCTTACAGGCAATACAATGGCACTAAATTCATATCTCTCAATACTTACCCTGAATGTTAATGGGCTAAATGCCCCAATCAAAAGACACAGGGTATC